TGGGGGCTGGGGTTATGGGGGAATAATCACCACCGTGTGTCATTGGGGGGGGGGGGGGGGGTTAAAAAAACCTGAAACAAGGGGAGGAGTACAGAACATTAACATCGTTAAATGGAGAGGAGAAGGTGAACTGATGAGAACTTGGATAGAAAAAACAGATTTGAGAAAAGAGACATCCTTTTATAACATATGAGAACAGGGTGCTGATTGGTTGAATCATTCTTGGCATGGAGATGCAGCAAGAACAGTTAACTGTCAATCTGAATTCACAGGCCAGCGAGGTCGATTCTGATTGGTCAGGGTGTTGCTACGGGGATGTGACCGAGTTTGGCTGTCTGCATGGCCCTTTCTTTTGATAAAAGATGAAATATATGAACAAATTCCTTTTGCCTTGATCCAACACAGCCCTGAGTATTAATCTCGGTAGCTTCTGTAACTCTTACACTCTGAGCTCTTAATAAATGATGAGCAGGAGCAGAATCACCTTGAATACTGGAGGTAGTTTTCTGAGCTTGTAACCACAGGCTGCTCACTGTGAATGGTCGACATGTTCCCAGCCAGGATATGTCTGGTCTGAGAATTCAGATGGACAGGGAACTGTTCTTGCTGCATCTCCAGTAATAGCTCAACCAATCAGCACCCTGTTCTCATGCCTTAGAAAATGGTGTGTCATTTCTCAAGGCTGTTTCTTGCATCCTAGATCTGTTGAGTGCACAATGAAAAGCTTCAGCTTCTTGTCTCCTTGCAGCAATGAACAAGGAGGAGTAATGGCCAACAGGGGGCTGTCTACAAAGGGCCTTCACTCTGCTGTTAGCTACAGCCTTGGAATCGGGGGGAATTGTCACTCACACCAAGTATCAGATGGCAATGACCCAGCCAGTCCAGACCCCAGCCCCACCCGACACGTCCACTCACCTCTCCCTTTGCCAGTGTCACATGTGCGTGCCGATCAGAGATTTCCTCGTTAATGCTGGACAGGAAATTCTGTGAGATTCGGAGAGCATCCTGCAGCAAGGGGTAGTCAGGATGCTGTGTGGGAGTGTGCTTCAGGAGATCCTGCAATCATAGAACAGCAGCTCCATTAGAAACTGGCTCCACCTCCTCACTGATGATAGGGCAGCTCAGTGGCTCTTCACAGCACCAGGGACCCAGGTTCGAGTCCACCCTTGGACGACTGTCTGTGTGGAGTTTGCACATTCTCTCGGTGTCTGTGTGGGTTTCCTCTAGGTGCTCCGGTTTCCTCCCACAATCCAAAGATGTGCATGCGAGGGAGGATTAGCCATGCTAAATTGCCCGTAGTGTTCAGGGATGTGCAGGTTGGGTTGGTTAGCCACAGGAAATGCAGGGTTACAGGGTTAGGGTAAAGGGGTGGGTGTGGGTGGGATGATCTTCGGGAGTTGGTGTGGGCTACATGGGCCAAAGGGCCTGCTTCCACACTGTGGGGATTCTATATGAGGCAGGTTGATATTCCCGAGACCATCACTGGAATTTCCAGTTCAATGGACCTGGTGAAAAAACTTTGGGCGTGGCTGGGTGGTGGTAGTAAAGGTGATGCACAGGTTCCTGGACAAGATTATCACATCACAAGCACCAGTCACTGGATTAAAGACCCATTTTAGAGAGACAAGCACAAAACCCAGGAAAACACATCGTACAGCCAAGTGAAGGAGCACTGCACTGTCAGAGGGTCAGTGCTGAGGGAGCGCCGCACTGTCGGAGGGTCAGTGCTGAGGGAGCGCCGCACTGTCGGAGGG